TGCGCAGCGTCTGCACAACCCGTGCGTGTCGTCGCGGAGCGGGAAAGAACACGAGCAGCCCTTCTCATCCGCCCCGTGACAGCTCTAGTGCTCGGCAGGAGAGATCGGGGCCGATGGCTCTAAAGGAAATAGAATCGTAAGACATTCAGGATGGAATTTGGGGTTTGTAGAGTGAGGATGATGTTCCAGAAGAAGACGACTTCACTGTATTTGAATCAATGTAGATGGTTGTGCCATACTTAAAAAAAAAAAAAAAAACATGCCCTGAAAATAAGCCCTGGGGTGTCTTCTTGAGGAAAAATAAATATAAGACCCTGTCTTACTTTGGGGGAAACACAGTACTAGGGAAGGCACGAGGAAATCTGTCCAGCTCTCAGAGCTGGGAGACCCTGGAATTGGATATTGAGGAAAGTTGGGAAGTTCTTAAAATACTAACGGATGTGATAGCATCCCTTGCTTGAGTGAAACTGTAAATGCATATGGATCATTCACAGGAATAACGATTACATAGTGGTTCGGGTTGTTCTCTATAAATATGCGTGCACGCCTAGCACCAAGTGTCATTATGATGTACGAACAATGTATCCCATGGCTGCTAATGAATATATATTTTTTTCAACAGCTATTCTTCCTCTCATGATCTTTTGCTTTCTTGGGATTTTAGAACACACCATGATAGCCGGACCCCTGGAACTTCCTCTTTCCAAATAGTGCAGATCTCATTCCTTGTGTTCAAAACTTGTCAAATGATTTGAGTCAACGTTGGTCTACTTGCAAATGATACATAACAAATGTAGCTCGTTATGGCTAAAGAGGGTATAGGTCCCAGAAGAAAGAACTGTTTGCATTTCAATCCGTGCTCGCGTCTTAGGAGAGGAGATGCTAAGACCTCCTTATTCTTCAGCAGATCCCAGGCACAGAAAGAGCTCTGGGGCGGGGGCCGTCTTCTGTCCTCAGATGGGAAAATATTCTGTCTCCCTGACACCGATTGGTAGCACCAGAGCTCTCAGCTGGCTGCCTCTGGTTGCTCTTCTGAATGTGCCCATTTTTTTAATGTTTCACAATCTGGTTACTGAGGCAGTTTTCCCTGATAGCACCCGCAACCTTAAGCCTATCAGTGCCTCCCCCTCCGGCCCCTTCTTTTCTCACTGCAGTTCAAGATCTCTCATTACTACAAGATCTCTCATTAATTCAACGGAATCCGTCACTTCTCTGCATCTCTGCTCCTTTCCCTCTAGTCCAGTGGTTCTCCCTCAGCTTGCCTTCCTTCTGACTCTCCACTTCCGGACTGGGGCATTTATACATGTCAAGATGTGTTAAATAGTATTTTGGGGAATACTGGGGTATTCCCTAGTACTAGGGTATACTAGGGTATTCCCTTGGGGCTGGTTACCAAGGCAAGACAGACAGGGTGTTGGACTTGGAAAAAGGAAGAACCAGAAAGAAAAACAAAGGCATGACTGGCCATGTACTTACATCTGATAACTGGAAGGGTGAAAGGTACGATGGTGGTCATTACATTCACCTCTGTTCAGTAGGGTACCGATGGCCATGTGGAAGTGGTAAGAAAAGAAAGGGAAAAGAGAGAATATATGGATGATTTGGGGCCCCACGGGTAAGGTCATTTAGCGAATGTGATTATAGATTACCCACATGGGAGAGTGGGTAAGGAAGACACAGACAATTCTACTTCCGTATTTTTAAGGTAATGATTTGGATTATGACCCTATTTGTTTTTATAAACCCAAATCCTCAACAGCAGGACTAAAACGTGGCTACAGATCAAATGGCCCATGTCAGAGCACATAAAAAGACAGGGGCTTGCCCTTAGAAGACGAAAATAATCCCAATGTCCATCAAACGATCCATTCCACCTTCCAGACACTCTGCAGAAAACCAAATGCCAGAAAGAACCCACCAAATTCTCATCAATCATCTATCTACATACTTCCAGTGCTCCTGAATATTTCCTGTCACACAGACAAACTATCCAGGTGTCAAACTAATTTTTTCCAGTTTCCACTTGAAAGCTTTGTGTCACCTAGGATCTATTCAACATTAAACTAATTTTTCCCCCAACCCTGTAAGGAACATATTTCTGGAAATACCTTATCATCACACAACATGATCTGGAGAACACGGTCGGCCTGCTATTGCACAGGGAATATATGCATCCTATTGATTTTGCATCATTGTTTTTATTCGTGTCTTTGTTACTGTATCTCTTTTTTCACAGAAAACTCCTTGAGAGAAAAAAACTACATGTAAGCATCCTCACACTCTTCACAGGCATTCTTAGTACCACGCGTTACACGTGACCGTCCTGATTAGCAGATGTGTGTTGAGTAGATCAATCTGCAACACTCAGATGATCTATATTCAAAGAGCCATGTTGCAGAGGGAAACTAAACACGGGAACTGCGTCCAACGGGAATATATGCCTTTCTTGGTCCTACAGAAGACATTTCAGGGTTTTGTGACAACTCAATGTCATCATGACAAATGCTGGTGGCTTGTAGGGGATGGAATTAGGGAATGCTGTCTGTCTAGATGAGTTCTGGCAGATTGTCGGGAAGAGTATTTGAGGCAGGCCCATGAGGAGATCAGGTGCTTTTCCCCGCGGAGCCAAGTCCCTGAGACAGGGGTCGCCACAGAGGGTAAGGAAACTGATAGGAGATAGAGAAACATAAAAGAATGTATAGAGACTAAGGTATAGTTTATAGTTTTTATATATACATATGTAGATCAGACATAACACAGCGGGGAGTACCTAGGGGACTGGTGTATCTCCATAACCGCCAGCAATATGGTTAGATTCACACAGGTTTTTATAATCAAAGACATCAATTACCAGTTGTCAGGATAACATATTTGCATATCAGGGAATGCAGTTGCTAGGGGATACAGGTAGTGGGTTGGGGTCAAAAGTCCTCTCAAGGGGCTTTTAATCAATCTAGGTGAACAAACAGGTACAAAGTCTTTCAGGGGCTAACTTCTAAATTCTAAGAGGTAGTTGTCAATTAACAAAGATATAACTAAAGAGGTATAGTGACTCTATATTTCTTTGATTAGTTACGGTGGACTTAAAGGTAGACAGACAGGAGAGAGCAGGAAACCCATCTCTAAAAAACAGGTTGTTTATAACCACCGGGCACATCTCTGGGGAAAGTGCACTCACTGTCTCCGGCTCCCACCCTGTGGGCCATATTTGCCTTGTCTTGTCTTTCAAGACACAGGGAAGGCCGGGCGCTGTGGCTCACGCCTGTAATCCTAGCTCTTGGGAGGCCGAGGCGGGCGGATTGCTCAAGGTCAGGAGTTCAAAACCAGCCTGAGCAAGAGCGAGACCCCGTCTCTACTATAAATAGAAAGAAATTAATTGGCCAACTGATATATATAAAAAAAAAAAATTAGCCGGGCATGGTGGCGCATGCCTGTAGTCCCAGCTACCCGGGAGGCTGAGGCAGAAGGATCACTCAAGCCCAGGAGTTTGAGGTTGCTGTGAGCTAGGCTGACGCCACGGCACTCACTCTAGCCTGGGCAACAAAGCGAGACTCTGTCTAAAAAAAAAAAAAAAAAAAAAGACACAGGGAAGCTCACAGATTTTGAGATACCGGGAAGCCTTCCTGGAAAACATCCCTACCAGAGATTCAAGAGCTCTCCCATGATAGCAGCCTCTAATAAGTGAACCATTGAGTCCACACATTCCTACAGGGCAAACTCCTGTTTCTGTCTTTAATATAGTAATATAGGGTGATACGATAAAATAATGGTCTTATGAGCTACATTTCATTAATTTCTCAATCATATTTCTCAACAGCAAATCACAGCATTTTCTGGAAACAGCCTTCCACGGCTACCCAATACTCCTAGGATAAAGACCAAATTCCACATCCATCCATCCCAACATGACTTAGTCTCTGCCTTTCTCTCTGTAACTGCAGCCTCGGTTCACTCATTCTCCCTGCTCTCTGTACTTCACTCACATCGTTGCTGTTTTTCACATCCTCAGAGCTATGATAATTCCTCCTGTCCCAAGCCCTTTGCCACGTTAACTCAGAAATTCTCCAACCCACACCCTCCTCCTTCCACAATTGGCCAATGCCTACTCCCTTTTTTTTGGGATCTTGTCTCAAGCATACTTCCCTAAAGGAAGTCTTTCGAGAGAGCTTGCATCTGCAGCGTGAGTGAAATTCCTTAGTTATCCCCCCTCATGGCCCCAGATCTCATATGGAAGTTTATAATTCCGTATTGCATTGGCGGATCACCAGAATGATGTCAGAGTCCCTCCACTAGACTCTCAGCGGCATGGAAGGCAAGTTTTTATCAGGTCTGCTCACCGTCCTCAACAATGCCCAGCACGGCACTTGGCAGAAAGGAGTAGATCAATAAATATTTCTGAATGAATAAATGTGTACTTCTTCTTTCTCACTATGTACACGCACACACACATACATTTTTTCACTTTGTAATGCCTATGCAAGGTTAACGTACAAGGAGCAGTGACTATTTTAAGCACATTTTAAGTAGATGATTCATGAACCTAGACATTATGGAAATAATCTGGAGTGTTCACTACTCTAAATCCAAGCACTTTGTTTCCTTAATCAAATATACTATCCACGGTAAGAGAGAAATCTGGCAACAGTATGGGATTCGTCAGAGATTTTTGTCTATGTGAAAATGACTCCATGCTCCCGGCTGGCACACGAACTAATGTTTATCAACGAGAGCATTCACAGCAACACGACCCCTTCTGAATTCAAAGCATCGGTGAGCATGCCAATTACTGCTAGATAGACAGGCAGAAAAGAATACATGCCTGTCTGTTCTTCTTTTGTCCTGCAAGACTTATGGCTCCTGTTCCATTTTCTGAGAGAGCTAGTAAAATTCAATTTGCTTTTTCAATTTGTCTCCAGCCACGCTCCCTTCTGTCAGCTACGCAGAGAGTTCAATGCTAGCCACGCGGAGTGAGAGGAGAAGGACAATGAGAATTAAATTACCTGTGCATTTGCGATCTGTGTCTTCTTTTTTGGACCCACTAATCGTCAACTTGCAGTTGAAGTTCTCCTCCCAGTACTCGGCAAACCATACGTTTCTTCTATTGTTTTCAAGCGTGCGGGACGTGAAGTAGGCGTCAAACCCTACACAGAGTTAAGTGGAAAGGTCAGTGCTTGTGGGGTACCGCTGGCCCACGTAGAAACAAAAATACTCGTGATGGTTTTCTTTGTTTCAGTAGACTGGATGCTCTTTTGTGTCAACCAAAAAAAAAAAAAGGAGGGGGGAGGAATAAAAAATATTCTAATGCTAACCTAATACCGTGTTTGCCCGAAAATAAGACCTACCCATAAAATAAGCCCTGGCAAGATTTCTGAGCATGTGCGCAATAGAAGCCCCACCCCGAAAATCAGCCCTAGTGACGGGCGTGGCTGTGCAGCATCTGCACAACCCGTGCGCGTCGTCGAGGAGCGGGAAAGAGCATGAGCAGCCCTTCTCATCCGCCCCGTGACAGCTCTAGTGCTCCACAGGAGAGATCGGGGCCGGTGGCTCTAAAGGAAACAGAGTCGCAAGACATTCAGGATGGGATTGGGGGTTTGGAGAGTAAGGATGATGTTCCAGAAGACGACGACTTCACTCTATTTGAATCAATGCAGATGGTTGTACCGTCCTTAAAAAAAACCAAACACATCCCCTGAAAATAAGCCCTAGGGTGTCTTCTTGAGGAAAACTAAATATAAGACCCTGTCTTATTTTCAGGGAAACACGATATGTGGCTCAATCCCTAGTGTATCTGTCAGGTAGTAACTATGATTAATATCGTTCCACTTTGCAGATGAGAAAACAGAGGATGGGAGGTGGTAATAACATGTGTAAGATCAACCATGATGCCATCCTGTGCACGCATGACCATGTTAGCTCCTGACCTGTAAACGTCATTTCAAGAAGGCTCTTTCACTTAGTCATGCCCCATTATGCAATTGACTTTCTAGGCAAATTGGAAGTAAAAGATTTTGAAGAGGCCACAGGTAAACTGAGTCATGCATAAAGCTCAATCCTATTTATTTATAAAGGGCATCCAGGTGAGCAGAGACCCAGGCAGCAAGGTATGTGGGGACACTTTAGAATAGAGCAACTTTATTTTATTTATTCATTCATTCATTCCTTCCTCCCTCCCTCCCAGTTTTGAAGGCTGGGAAGTCAAAGACCAAGGTCCTGGCAGCTTTGGGTCCTGGTGAGGGTCCTCTATCTGACTTGCAGATGGCCACATTCTTGCTGTGTCAGCTTTGGGGAGTAATTAATGCAACTTTAAAGGCTCCAACAGGGCCATAAGACCAGGCGAGAATCCAGGTGGAAAAAAGACTGGATGTGGTGTCCCAGCACCCAGGCTCCAGTCCCAGCTCTACCAATCTCTCTGTCATGGAAACAGGAGCAGGTGCACACTCATCCTTTCTGACCTTCCCTTCCTCTGTCTCTATCGGTGAAGACGCCACCCGCCTTTGCCCTGAGACAGAGATGGATTTCAGGTGGTGGGAAGACTTTGGAAACTTTCAGCGCTGAGCTCTATGATCAAGAACCACAGAAAAAGATGGACTTACTTTCACATTATTTAAATTATTTGAATTTCCCCCTTACCTTTAGAGCCATACAAATGGCATAACCATGCTAATGACAAAAATAATCAGTCTGTTGCATACATTTTTTTCATCAAGCGTCGCATCAACCCTAGGAAGTAGGTACCACTCGGATCTATAGTTTAGAGGTAGAAGCGAAGGCTGGGAGAAGAATTTCGACCCAGGTCTGTCTAAATCCCAGATCCTGGCTCGTGCTTCACACACTACATGGAGCCACGCGCCTCACATTTTGGCAGGTGTCACAGTCCCCTGCAGAGCTTTTGAAGGACACAGGGGCCAGGCTCACCGAGGTGGGCAGGGGGCTGGGTCTTTTTGATTTTTCTCAAGTTCCCTAGGAGATTTCTGCAAACACACCCAAGCTCGAGAACCACTGCGATGGAGCTTTTCTGTGGCCCACTTCCATGCCACCTCCTCTCGTTCCCTGCCCGACACCCTACCCCAACTCAATGTATCAGCCGCTGAGGCCACAGAGCAACTGGTGATTCAGTAGGTGGAGAGAAAATAGTACAGAGCCAGGTGCTGCAATGAGTAAGTCCATCCAAATGCTAACACCGGCTACACAGTCCGACAGGACCGGAGCAAAAGCCAGTTTCGAAAACAGGGCTCCTCTCAGACGATTCAAAGCAGTAGCAGCAGAGGTTGAATGGGTATTACCTCATCGAGTTAATTCTCACCGACTTACCTAGGCTTAGCAGAGTCGGATTTCTTTGGGGACCAAACCATCTATTCATTTGTCTTTACCAGTGAGTGACATGGCAAAAAACAAATTAAGTCTCGCAGGTTCCCAAATACACAATTTTTTTGTCCATGAGATATATCCAAAAGTTTTTTTAAAACAGACCTTGTTATAGCCATGTATTTACGATGTATTGGAATATTCTAGGCAGCTCTTGGGGTTAGCACACACCACAGCTCTTCTTTGTTAATAGATACGGAGCCTCTGACACAGTGTGACTCAAAGCCTTCTGTTGGGCTGAAGTCACCAAGCCATTCTAATTACGCAGCCTGAGGATTCTACCTGTCCTGTATGAAGAATAGGATGTTCAATACATGATTTATGGTCGCCAACGTGGAGCAGAGAGTCAGAGATAGAGGCAGAAATTAGAATAACACTGATAATCTTATCCGTGTGCGTGTGTGTGTGTGCGTGTGTGTGAATCACAGTGAATTGAGACTCTCTTCCCATCCCTCTAGAGCCCAGAAGAAAAGTTATCTGGACACATATCCCATTACTTACTATTAGTTTAAATACCAGGGTTTCAAAATGTAACCCATGCCACCAAAACCAAGGCATCATTTCGAGGAAATGGCATCAGACTTATGTAAAAGTAGAAACATCCTTCCTTTGTACTGAGCAGAGGGAAAAAGTTTTAGTATAAAACTGTTCCTTTGGTTGGAGATGAGTTTAACTTCAAAAACGAGTCTCCAGGTGCTCGTGAAGGGAACGCCCCGCTGGTGACATGTCTAACGGCGTTCCCTGCGATCTTGGAGGAAACGCAGAGCGGCACGAGAACAAACAGGGCTTCAGCTGGCACGACGACTGCGCTTACCTGGCTCTTCTCCCTTTTAACTGGGGCGCCACCCTCAAACACCCTCTGAAATGTGTAGCTGGGACAAAAGAGTGCAAATCAAGAGAGACATATTTCATCCCAGGTGGTGTTTGGGAGGTGACCTTTTCAGCTGAGAGAGGGGCAAAGACACCTATCACAAGTGTGTGGTGCGAGGGAAAACTACCAGAGTATCGCGAGGGGTCGAGGATGTAGCTGCTTGCCCTGCCAGGGTGATGGGAGCTGGCAGGTACTGGTGGTGCTTCCTGTGGCAGCCAGAGCTGACCGGGAGCTCCGATGGCCACCTTCTCTGTTCCAGCAAGTGTTGACAGCAACCGACCGGGCAAAGAACCGAGCGACGCTCGGAGAATCGGCCTTTATTCTGCCAGCGGGCGCAGAGGGGCAGGCCACCAAATTCTGAGCACCGCTTCCCTGTTCTCCTCCGCTTTTATACACTTCTTGGGGTTACACACAACCAATCAACTGTGAGCATGAGGAGTTATCCAATTAGCAGTAGGATTCAAAAAGCATCCAATCAGCAACAAGTTTTACCTATCCAATCAGCAACGAGCTTTACCTATACAATCAGCAACAAGCCTTACATATACAATCAGCAGTGGGATCCAAAAAGCATCCAATCAGCAACAAGCTTTACCTATCCAATCAGCAACAAGCTTTACCTATCCAATCAGCAACGAGCTTCACCTATCCAATCAGCAACAAGCCTTACATATACAATCAGCAGTGGGATCCAAAAAGCATCCAATCAGCAGTGAGTTCAGCCATAGGGCCCTGGGGTGGGGGTTCTTCCCTATCATCTCAACTCTAGAACATCCCCGTAGGCCTAGGTGGCCAGGTGCGGGGCCCCCTCACTCTCCCTCGAATATTTGTGTGACCTCAATGAAAATATGAAGTTTTTCCCCTCTAGAGCAGGACAAGTTGCTTTTAAATTTCATATGGAAAGATATATAAGAGCCACAAGATCTCTGAAAAGGAAGAGCAAGTGTGCGTGAGAATGTGGCAGCTCAGGGGAAAGAAGGGAGTAAAAAGACAGAAGGACACAAACCACCAGGTGTGATAACAGCAGATTTTAAATCCACTATGATTAAGAAAAGATTAGCCCTGGCACGTGAATAAAGGCCATCAACAGACCATCAGAACAGAACAGAAAGTCCAGAATTGGACCCAATTGCACAAGGGAATTTAAATACAGTAGAGAATAATAAAGGTAGTATTTCAAATGACTACAGAAATGATGCTCTGGGCAGGGCGAGGTGGCTCATGCCTGGAATCCTAGCACTCTGGGAGGCCAAGGTGGGAGGATCGCTCAAGGTCAGGAGTTTGAAACCAGCCTGAGCAAGAGCGAGACCCCATCTCTACTAAAAATAGAAAGAAATTAATTGGCCAACTAAAAATATATAGAAAAAATTAGCCCGGCACGGTCGTGCATGCCTATATTCCCAGCTACTCAGGAGGCTGAGGCAGGAGGATCACTGGAGCCCAGGAGTTTGAGGTTGCTGTGAGCTAGGCTGACGCCACGGCACTCTAGCTCGGGCAACACAGTGAGACTCTGTCTCAAAAAAAAAAAAAAAAAAAAGAAAACAAGAAAAAGAAATGATGCTCTTTTAATAATCATCTAATGAACAGCAACTGGTTGGATATTTGGAAAAAAAGATCTCGTTGGATCCCAGTTAGGAATTTAACACAGTTGCCCACAAAAATACTAGGAAGCATTGCAGGGATCCATCTATAGCAAGTGCATCTGGGGCTTGCTGTCTCTGCAAGAGGATGCATTTTGCACGGTTGTAGGAGTTGGAGGTCCGTCACCCTTGAGTCTAGTGCCGTGCAGCGTGTTCTCGTGACACGTCTGCAGGTAGCCCAGTCTGCGTTGTGCAAGGCTGTGGGCAGTCAGTTCCTTGTCTGCCCTCTCGTAGGTCTCTGAGCTTCTAGAAGTCAGACACTGTC